ACCCCAGCGGGCCCGGTTTTTGCCGCTGTTTTTCCCCCGGAGCGCGGGTTTGTTGTGCTGCCTTCAGCGGAGCGGACGAGGAAGGGAGGGCGGAAGGTTGTGGATAAAGGCAAAGAGCTGGTCTTGTGGTAACTGAAGTGTCACTTGTGAGGCCCGAGCGGCAGCAAGGTATGAAACAATAGGGGAATGGCCATCAAATATCAGCCAAGTAGTTTCTGCCTATTGCTAGTGATATTTACAGTAACTGTAATGCTGAAGTGATTCAGGATGTCGTGAAAGTAGTGACATGTGCTTGCATAGTACTTTATTAATCACAAGTCTTGATTTCACTTTCCTTGTAGTTCCTCTGAAGCTAGACAAAAGAAGAGAATGGACATGGGTAACCAACACCCATCCATGAAACGGTTGCATGAAATACAGAAAGAAGTCAAGGAGATTGAGCAGCAAGTGCTTGTCTTCAGTGGTCTGTCTACTGATCGAGATTACAAGCAATTAGAAAGGAGTCTCACTAAACAGCTTTTTGAAATCGATTCAGTGGACACGGAAGGAAAGGGGGATATTCAGCAAGCCAGGAAGCGGGCTGCTCAGGAAATAGAGAGGCTGCTTAAGGAACTGGAACAAAATGCAAACCATCCGTGCAGACTGGAGATAGAGGCGATATTCAAGGAGGCACAGTCACTTGTTGAACGCAAGATTACACCTTTTTACAAAGGGGGTAACTGTATAAGTGACGAATTTGAAGAAGGTATTCAGGACATTATTTTGAGGCTTACCCAGGTGAAAACTGGAGGGAAAGTTTCTTTACGTAAAGCAAGGTACCGCACTCTGACAAAAGTGTGTGCTGTCCAGGAGGTCATAGAAAGCTGTGTAAAGCAGCAGCTGTCCCTGCCGCTCTCTAACGATGCACATCCTTCTGTCTCCAAAATTAACTCTGTGATGTGCGATGTGAACAAAGCAAGAGGAACTCTTATTGCGCTCCTGATGGGAGTGAGTAGTAATGATACCTGCAGGCATCTGTCCTGTGTGCTTACAGGCCTCATTGCTGATTTGGATGCTTTAGATGTCTGCGGTCGCACGGAAATAAGAAACTACAGAAAGGAAGTAGTAGAAGAGATCAATAAATTGCAAAAGTACCTGGACTTGGAAGAAGAAGCAAATTCTACTCATGCTTATGATCTGGCACAAAATCAGTCCATTCTAAAAATAGAAGAGATCCGCAAGAAAATGAAGGAAGTCAATTCTTTACTTTTAAAAACAGAGAATGCTTCCGATTTGTATTTGGGGTCCAAAGCGGAATTGCAGGGATTGATTGCCCGCTTAGATGAGGTGAGTCTTGGGAAAAACCCCTGCATTAGGGAGGCCAGGAGAAGAATTCAGACCCTTATAACGTACATTGATTTGAAGGAAGCGCTTGAAAAAAGGCAAATGTATCCTGAGCAAACTGCTGCTGAACATCAGTCTCATAAAGCAGTTTGGACTGTTCTGGGAAACTTGTCTCAAATTCAGCAGGAGGTCATTTCATTTGATGGAAACAGAACAGATAAAAATTACATGAGACTGGAAGAACTGCTCACCAAACAACTTCTAGCACTGGATGCTGTCGATCCGCAAGGGGACGAGCGGTGTAAGGCTGCCAGGAAGCAAGCGGTAAAGCTTGCGCAGAATATTCTATACTACCTGGACATGAAAACAGATGAATGGGAATACTGAAAGAGCCATGGCCTAACATGGAAGAATGTTTTCTCCTTTGGCACTTTATGCAGATCTGTGCTTGCTGAAATCCCGGAGATTGCATAAGCAGTTGACTGGGCTATATGTCTGCTATCCCACGCAGTCACCCACTTGCCATGGCAACTGTCAGTACACCATCAGCAATTCTGGTCATTGCTGTAAGGAAGGAAGTGTGATTCTCTGAAGGAATAGCTTAACACTTGATCAAATGGCTTATTTTCTTTGGGTTTGTTTTTTTTGGGTTGGTTTGTTTGTTTGAATAACCTTGTGCAATGTTCAGCAAATGCAGATTTTTCAGAGATGCGGAAACTCCCTGATGGTGGGGTACTGGTAAAACTATTTAAAGAAGGCTGGACTTGCAAATTAGCATTCAAGCATGAGGATCCATCCAGCAACTTCGCAGCAGTCTGGATATACTCTTAATCTGCTCTAACAACAAAGTACTAAAGGCAGAAAACCTGCTGGTTTTTGGGTTGTTCTTGATTTTTTCCAGCCATCACACCTCTCTGGGTGTTTTAGAGTTCTTAGGTAATGGAGCTATAATGACAACTGCAAATTAGCATTTATATAGGTGAAGCCAATTATGTCCACTTTTTGCAATACTTGAGCCCTTTGATTTGCAAAACGAGATCTTTTGTTGGTGGAAACTCTTTCAAATTACTGCTTTAAGGTACTGAGACTTGGAGAGGAAAATCTGGTATGTACTGACCAGCTAAATGGGGTTTCAAGGATTTCACACTGCCATCTCCTGAGAACTGCACTGGACTCTAGTTAGTGGCTGCTTAGGTGTCTTTTTAAACTCTGTTGGTAGATCTGGTTTTTGACTTGGCTTTTCACATTCAGTGAAAACAGAAACAATTCACTTTGAAGTGAACAAGCATTTTGGAATTATTTTTGTAAAATCAGGTAGCTAGCTATAAAGATGTCCATAATGATGTAAAGATGTCCATAATGATGTAAAGATGTGTTATGTATTTCATATTGGTCAGGTGTGGCTTCAAATATGTCTTGGAAAAGACTTGGGGCAAACGTCTCTCCTTGCAACTCATCACTGGGATGTTTTAGTACCTTCGTACATAAGCCCACTTGTACTATTGTATGCACCTGCCTTTTTATTTGTGGCTGCTAGTGCCAATCACATTTCTAGTATAGCGTGGGTTTTGTCATTTTTTTGGGAGCATGGCATTAAAACGAATTAATTTAAAAGATATATTTAATTATGGATATTTTTGCACGTAGCTCTTTCGTGTTGAACTCATTAATTATTCTTCTGTAGATGATTATTTGAACCACTTTAAGAAGTAAAAATCATTTCGGATGTTAAAAATAAATATTTTTAGGTCTCTTTTTGACTGATTTGAGAAGACTGTACTGTCTGTGAGAGACAAGTGCCTTTATGACACCACCAAGTTGCACCATCATATGTAGATACAGGAATTGTTTACTGGCAGCTTGATACATTTGTAATCTTTGCAAACTGGATGTCTCACATCTATATAATTCTACTATAAGATATGTCAAATTAACAGAATACAGTAAGTGACAATTCTTTCTATAAAGTCCTGGGAATAAGTATTAACTTTGGAAAATACAGATTCTGCTTAAAAAGGAATGCATTGATGTGGAGATGGGGGACTCTGGGGAGGTCCTCTGTGCCTATTGCTACTAGAAAGAGAGATTGTGTTTGCTCCATAACATACCTTGATGAAAGGCTCAGAGTGTGATTAGATTTTGTTGGTGATTGCTTTCCAAATTTACTTGATCTGTTACAAATGATCTGTTTTTTCGGTTGAGCACAGTGCCTAAGGCACAACTTGGCAACGACAGAATGTTTGTTGGAGGATTCTCTCTGCTCCTTCAAAGATAGAACCCCCTTGAATGTATCTCTCCTTACCTCTAAAAAATAATTTCCCCTAGCTAAAATTCCAGTCTACATTTATATATTATGTGGCCAACACAGAATATTATTAACGTTGTATGCCTGGATTAGTTTACTCATTTCAAGCTTTCTGCACGTTTGAAATGCAACTTCTGATTTGCACTTATATTTTTAGGAAACAGAAGAATTTGATAGCGTAATGATGATTCATTTTTCTTTATAATGACTGTCAGGTCTGCAGTGGTTACTCGTCGTGTGTTCAACAATTCAGTGTCTGTGTTTGTTGGAGGTTGCACATAGCTTTACAAATGTTTGAACCTCTTCTGGAAAAATCAGTAAGGACAGTTTTCAGGTCTGTTCTATTTTACATTTCTATGCTGCTTAGCTTTTCTGAATGAATTATTATGCCTGCGTGTCTAAGAAAGCAAATGTGTAAGATTAGTGTAATACTGACTGAGTAGAGTTTCAGTGGCAAGGTACTTTTTGGATTAAGCTTTTTTCTATTGTTCTGTAATCTAATTAATAAATTGACTATTTAAATTTTATGGTAGAATCCTCATCTGGAATGGGATTAATTCACAGGTTTTGCGTGAATGAAAGTAATAAACTAAACATGTAACCAAAAAAAAAAAAGCACAGATCTTTCAAAATCTTGCTTTTGTGCTGAAGAATGTAATTCCTATGGGGTTTATATCCAAAGATCGAGGGACACACGACTTTTCTTTCCAGTACAACAGGCTAAAATAATCAGCAAAATGTAAAGGACCAAATTGCAAAAGCCTGCATTTTACTACTGTGCTGAAACATAGTAACTTTCTTGTGTGCTGTGTAATCTCCCTTAGAGCAAAATAAATGATTGGGTATGTGGGGAGAGGTAATTCTACATCGATTCCTATTTGTTAATTGTATTTCTTTCTAAACTAGTTTTCTTTAGCTATTTCAGTGTTTATTTTTGTTGTTTACCACTCAAAGTGGTTTTCCTATATTACCACTCTGGAGGAGACTTTTGTTAAGTATGATTCCTACTTTTTCGGTTTAACAGTGGTGAGTGTATGTGCTCCTTAGAGTGTATACGTCTTGATTTATTGCTGTGTAGGGTATGGCATTTGTATATACAAATTCAAGATTAAATATTGCAGTGTTATACTCCTCACTATCGATAAAAATACGTTACTACCTTTTACTAGGTATTCATTTGAATGTTATGCCCTGCTGCCTTTTTCAGTTTGTTTTTGAATGTGAGTTATCAGAATGTAAATTATTTTTGTCTTAGAGAAACATACAGACGTAAAGCTCTCGTTCCCTCCCCCCCCACTTTAAAAGTTTGCTTTTTACTGCTGTATTTATGAAAATAAAGTTCTTTGTTTGGCAACCACTCCTACCTCTACTTGATAAATTTGGTGCCTCTTGGTTTTCTCTGCATTCCACCTTGCATTACAACCATTACATCAGTCACTGCTTGCATTCTTTCTTCAGCAATAGCTTTGTGTACTCCTGGGCTTCAGCTGGGTGATCACTGCAAAAATGCTTGTGGCTGGTTTAAAGTTTTGCCCCTTTTCTGTGGAAGGATGCTGCCTTCACGGGTGAGCTTGCAGAGCTGATGGTACAAAGAGTATTCCTCCTGTGCCACATCACTCTGGATTAAAGAACCTTTAGTAGGAGTTAAACTAATCTGGTTTTAAACTGTGTAGATGAGGCACATTCACATGATTGTTCCGATGGCTCAGTGTTTTCTCAAGATGCAGTGAGCATCTAGCTCACTGCTGATGGAAATCAGAAACTGTTTCTGCCCAGAAATCTGGTTTTGTGCAGTTTCTGTTGCTTGGCTAGCTCCTATGAGCTGAATCAATCCAGTAAAATGGGAGAAAACTTGACAAAAATGGAGAAGGGAGGTTTCAGTGTGTTTAGTGAGTCAAACTGGCTTGTAGAAAGGCATGTGGGACAGAGGTGCTGCAAAAGGAATGGGTGGGTCACACAGCCATGGGCTAGGGAGCAACTTCTAAGCTTTTCAGTACCTTTAAATCACGATATCAACTTTGTGTTTAAATCTCTGAAGGAGTGAGAAGGTGGCACTGTCAACTCCTACAGACAAGTAGGGATATTCCTCTTTAGTAATGGGATACAGTGAAGGCAATGGAAATGAATCATATACAGAAAACATTAAACCAGTTGCTTTTGATTGCTCCTTTGTGTTCCATAGTAGGTGTTCATGCAACAAGAAGTACCACTGATCGTGTTGTTAGTCTGGAAACGTCTTACACAGAAACATCAGATAAGAATAAGGTTTATGAATGCTAGATGTTTCTATAGGTAACAAGTTCACTGTGTCTACTTTCTCTCCCTTCTAACAGCATAGCTTCATTGAAGGAAATAAATCCTTCAAAGACTAGTAAATCATCTGGGCAATGGCCCAAGATGTTGCACAGCTAGCTACTGACCTGTTTGTCTTGATCAGCTGTTTATTCATCAAAGGAGAGAATTTGCCTTGCTGAGAATTTTTTTGTGTGTATTTGGGACAGGCAGATTTTAATGCCTGAAATAGTTTAACTGGAAAAACCCTGTATTTTATTTCCATACAGTTGTATCCTCTCCTTTGGAAAATTCTCAGATGATGAAGAGAAGTAGAAGCATTTTAGTACTGAGCTCACGGATCGAAGGCCTGTGGGTTTAAGCTGCTGCCAGCAGGAGACATTTAAATGGCAGGATCTGGGAAAAACAATCCTGCTAGAGGAAATTGGTAGCAGAGACACAACCAAATGTTCAGAGCTGATGTTTTGAGTGAGCTCTGTGCCTGGTCCTCTGAAATACTGTCAGGCTTTCTGTTTTAGATAAGGCTGAGAAACTATAGAGCTTTTGCTGAGCCACGGTGGGGCATGCACAAGTTGTTGACTGGTTTGGATATCATTCTGTTTTGCTATGTGAAGCTATTATGTACATAATGCTTTCACCTATATTAGTAGGTATGTACATGTCAGCTGAAAGCTGGTCATTAGGTGAAGAAGCTGAGGATGAGGTGTGATTTTTCTGAAGGCTTTGCACAACACCCTTTCTGCAGCATTTTGTTCTAGGGACTGCCAAACACAGATGAATGCACGAGTTGCACTGCTTGTCAGTTCAAAAACAATGAGGACTAAGTCTGCAAACTCTTCC